GATCGGCAGCCGCTCCCTCGTCCTTCCCTTCCCCATTTCTGTCCTGTGCAATTTATTGCCTTTTCTATTTCTTTCCTTCTCTCTTCCCTTCCTTTCCCCTCTCTTTGTTTTCCCCTCTTGCTCCCCCGCTTCGGCGCTTTTCCTTCCCGCTTCCTTTTCATTTTCCTTCCTTCCCACTCCCGCCGTTCCTTCCTTTTATTTCTTTCCTCCGACCATTTTTCCTCTTCCTTCCATTTTTCCTTCTTGGCTGGTTTCTTTTTTTTTCTGTCTTCTTTCCTGCCTTTTTAATTTGTATTTCTTTATTCTCTCCTTTATCCAACCTCTCCTTCCTTTCCTTCTCTTACTCTTCCTTCTCTTGTTTTCGTTTCTCCTGCGGTGCCTCCTTATTTAATTCATTTTCATTTTCGTTTCCGTTCATTTATTTTCCCTCACTCTCCCTTTTTCCCCTTCCTTAATCTTTCCCTTTTCTCTTCTATTTTTACCTTTTCCCTTCACACATTTCCCCTCTTCCCTCCCGTGCTTTTTCTCTCTTTATTCCCCTTTTCTTCCCCTCTCTTTTCTCTTCATCCCTCTCTCCGTATTTTCTTATTTCGATTCCCTCTCTCACCGACAACCCTACACACAAAAAACCCACCCCCACTTCCCTGATGACTTTGCGCCAGGTTTGGGGTTTTTTTTGGGGGGGGTTGTTGCTGCTTTTGTTATTTTTTCTTGCTTTTCCCGGCAGCGTTTCCGCGCCCCGCGGGAAGTTCCGCGGGTACCGGGAACCGGAGCTTTGAGGGAACATTATTTTTTACCTCGGAAATAAACTAAATTAAATTGAAATGTATAAATTTAGATATTTTGGTTAGAAAAAACGAGAAGGGAAAGGGGAAATGGAGAGGGAGGGGGGGGGGAAATCCCCCAAATCCCGGGAAAACCGGAGGGAGAGGCGGCGGGGCTGCCCCACACACCAAGACCCCCCCTCCCGCCTGAGATCTCAGAGCTGGGGGCAACGACCCCCTGCCCTCCCGGAACAGAATAAACCCCTCATTGCCCCCCCTAAAATAACCCCCCAAGCGCCGGGTCCGATCCTGTGCTCCCTTCCCTCCCGCGCAGGGATTTGCAGCTCCCTCGCTCCTGGAATTAAAGAGAGAGGAAAAAACAACAAAACACAGTGTCCGAGGGGGGCAACGCCACCCCCTCCACCAACCCCGGGTAGCCCACCCCCCCACCGGGCCGCCCAGCAGGGGAGGCAGCCGGGCCTGCGGCTGGCGCGCCGGGCGGCACCCCCCCG